TACTTCTTTTTTTATTTTGAGACAAGGTCTCCTCATGCATTTCAGGCTGGCCTTAAACTCACTATGTAGCTCAGGCTGGCCTCAAATTCACAGTGCTCCTCCTGCTTCAGCCTCAGGATTGCTGGGATTACAGGTGTGCAGCACCACACCTGGCTACTTTTCTTGAGAACAGTGGAAATAAACCACATTAAGAATGTGAGGGAAGTGAAAGGATAAAGTCAGATGAAGGTTAGGTGGGAGGAAGAATCTTCCACGTTAAGGTTTCTGGAGCCAATCTAACTCAAACCAAGTGGTTTTTCCAGACTGGAGAGATGGAAAGTTCTTTTATAAAGGTTATGTCCTTAAGTAAAAGATTAAATGAAAATGGAAAGTTGGCCCCAAAATACACTGTTCTGTGCCCTGAGAAACTGGAAATAATTTGAAATCAACTCTTACTCACTGTGATTATATGCTGGTAGGGAAGGGAGGCGATTTCCTGGTCTGCAAGGTGCTCCTCTGCTTTGGTTCCCTCCACTCCAGCCACTCATTCCAGCTCTTTGAAGGGACAGAAGATTCAGGCACCCGTAGTAGCTTTTTGGGGCCACTTCTGAGCTCCTTGCGGTGCAGCAGCTGCAACTTCCTCTTTCCAGGGTGCCCCAGGAGAAGGTCTGGCCGGGGGAGGGAGTTGAGGTGCGTTTCTACAGCGAATCACATTTCCCCCTCTGCTTCCATCACAATGTGAAGACACTTTTCTTGAGGGAACAGGCTGGTGAGTTTTATTTTAAACTATAAAGAAATTTCGTTTGAGAACACAGCAAGTTTTAACTTCCCTAGAGTTAAAAGGACAAGAGCTAAGGTTTGTTTTTTTTCTCTCCTTACACACTAAAGTCATTTTTCTGAAACTTGAAAAAAATCTGGAAACTGAATTCTCCTGAGATTAAAACCTTTCCAAATATCATATTTAGCGCTTGTGCAATTCCATACCTATGGGGAAGGTCAGGTTTCTCCCATTTTCACTCTTTCTGGCTCTTACTCCTTCCTCATTCCCTTCATAAACTCTCCTTTCCAGCTCCCTAAGACGTAACTGTTTCCTCTGAGAGACATTTGAAAAATAATCTGCGTTGCTATTTATTTTATTTGGTTTATGGTCCATCTTAGACCTGTTAATGCGCTATTTTTTTTTACTAAGTTCCTCCCTTGTGGTTAAGGAAAAGATTGAGCTTTTTTTCTCTGTAAATGAGACAAATATAATTGGTTAATTTCATAATTTAGAATCTTTGTTGGTCTAGATTTCCAAATGGAGAGGACTCCTTGAGCTCACCCCAATGGCGTGCTTTTGAAAGAGCCCTTTATTTTGCTGTGAATAACATTTCTCTTATAAACAGAAAATAAAAGAAAGTTTGGCAGGCCTCTATTCCCAATGGGTGGAAACATCACAGGGAATTCAGAAATTGTTTCTTTTTGCCCTGGTGGGAAAATTTTGCCAATGAAATTTAGTATTAATGTTTTAAGACTACTGCTTCAGTCATCATGAAAGAGCTGTTGAGTGACTAGCAGCTTCCAGGAAGAGGTATCGGTTTGACCTTCCTGCATTTGGTCTGTTGAATTTTCCAAGTATTCTGTGGTATGGTCCAGAAAATTGTGTTCTTGTCTATGTAATGCTTGAGCTTCTTTTAAGGAGAACTTAGAAATGCTTCAGTTATTTAGAAGTAATTCTGGCAAAAAGTTGGATTTGGGCTGGGGATATAATTTAGCGACATGGTACCTGCCTGGCAAACGTGAAGTCTTGAGTTTGATTCCCAGTACCAAAAACAAAAACAAAAAAATTGGACTCAATTAGATGCTTGTTTTTTTAAAAGAACAAAAAAAACCAGGGTAGGAAATTAACCTGAGATACAGAGGCCACCTTTTTTCTTTCTTTCTTTCTTTCTTTCTTTCTTTCTTTCTTTCTTTTTTTTCTTTTTGAGACAGGGTCTTGCTATGCAGTTCAGGATGGCCTTGAGCTCACTTTGTAGGTGAGGCTGGCCTTGAACTTGCAACAATCCTTCTGCCTCAGCCTCCTGAGTGCTGGGATTACAGGCATGCGCCACCACGCCCAGCTCAGGGGCCACCTTCGGTCCTCCACTTCATCTCTGGCTCTAGAACTTGGGTGATTCCATTTTGGCTCCTAAAAACATGTCCTGAACTCCAGACATTTGTCATCTGATGTTTGCCTGTGACAGCTTGCTTCTTGTCACAATAACAGAAATAACTAAAAAAATCAACGCATGAATAGAAAGCTTTATTTTTGGCTGTTTAGGGGTTCCCAGGCCACCCTTGGCTGGCCCATTGCTCCTGACTTGCCGGGGAGCAGCACACTGTGGTGGGAATATGCAGGGGAGAGAGACTGCTCACCTCATGGCCAGGGAGCAGGGAGAGTGAGGAGAAGCCTGGAGCCACACAAACCCTCCAGGGCACTCCTCTAAAACGTAGAAGGCTCCTGCGAGGCTTCAGCTCCTGAAGGCTCCACTCTCCCTTCAGTACCTCTCCAGAGACCACGATTCACACAGGCCTTTCAAGGGCATTTGAGATCTGAACTCTCGCAGTCCTCTCATTTTGTCCACATACACAGCTTATCTAGGATCATGCACTAAACCATTGCCCTCAGTTTGACTCTGGAGCTGGACTTCCTGAGTTCTTTGGAGACTCGACAAGCAGCACCACACATGCGCCACTATTTGAACCCAGACTCTTCACGGCCCTGCCTCATGCTCCTCGCCTGACAATCAGTCTCCCTTCTTCTCTGGTCCATCTCCTAGTACCTAGTGCAGGCCACAAGGTTCTCATGTTTGATTTCTTTTCAAGCCTCACAACCATCTCTTATTCTTAGTTTTTCTCTCTCATATTCCAGACTCTATTCTGAAGCCAAAGCATTTTTTTCTAAATTTAATCTTCATCGTCTCAAATCCTAACCTAAGATGCATTTTTCTTGCTTTATTTTTTTTTAGCTTCATCACAATTTTCACTAAAGAATCTGAATGATTGACTCAGCCTTTGCTTATGTCTCAGTTTATCACATTCCATTTACATCAGCCCCGCACATACCCACCACGTGTTGTGGTTCAGATTTAGAATGTTCCCCAGAAGGCCTTTCGAAGGTGATTGGATCCTGGAGTGCTGCGTTCATCAGTGGACTGAGTGTGCTCTTAGGGGTTGGGGTCTGGCCAGAAGAGACAGGTCGCTGAGTGTGGCCTGGAAGAGTGTACTCCCCTCCCGGCTCCTCCCTTCACTTTCTGCTTCCTGGTTGCCCTGATCCGAGCAGGTCTAGTCCCTTTCTTCCCACCTTGCTGTTTCTGTCTTTGAATCTGCTAAATATGGACTGAAACTTTTGGAAATGTGGGCCAAAATAAAACTTTCTTCCTAAAATGTGGGTATGGGGTATTGTTTGCTGCTGATGAGAAGGTGACTTAGTAACAACTGGACAAGTTGGGGTGAGTTCAGATATTCCTCAATTTATGACTGAATTATGTCTTGATAAACCTGCTGTAAGTTGAAAATATCATAAGTCAAAAATGCATTTAATGCACCTGATCTACTGAACAGCATAGCTTAGCCTAGCTTACCTTAGACATGTCTGGAATATTTATATTAGTCTACAGGTGAGCAAAGTCCTCTAACACAAAGCTTATTTTATGCTAAAGTAGTAAATGTCTCCTTTCATTTACTGAAGACAATGGAACTCTCCTTTAATTTTCAAAAAGTAAACCAAACATAGAAGACTAAAAAGTCACCAGTAGGAAATATACTCCATTTAGAATGGGGTTAGTTGTGACCATCAAATCTATAAGCACATCTCTGCCCTGCTGGATCTGAAGCTGCGAAGTTCACCGTCTTCTCTGCAAAGGGATCTTTATTTGGCTTTGGGGGAGGCCAGGATTTCAGCCTGTCTTCTAAAGCCTTCGAGGACACGTTCAGAGGGACATCCATCAGAAGCAGGCACTGGCTTTGAGGTTGGAAGGCTGAAGTTGTAGGATACCAGGGAGGCAAACCTTACACTTCCACTTGGAAAAAAAAGGGCAACAATGTTTATAGCAACGTTAAGAGGCATCTTTGAGCTTTTTAAATACACTGCTTATTTTAAATCCATTTTCTTTCTATCTGGCTTCTTATCTCCACTGTCTGTAGAAATCACTACAGAACTGAGGTGTCTGAAGAGGAGCACAGTGACTTATTTGGGCTCTGTTCTCTTTATCTGTCTCATGTCAAGGGATGTGCCTGCTGTGTAGAATTCATGTTGAAACCAATAGAAATTACCTACAAGGGAAGAGCCAGGCCCAAATACACATTTCCCAGGGACCATATTCACTAGTGACCTCTGTCCCAAACTGCTGCAGTCTTTTCTCATAGGTGCCTACAGCACCTTGTGTGGCGAAAAACATGGGGCTGCTGCCCACAGGCCATTGTCACACTGCAAGCTGGCAGAGAGAATCCACGTAGAATTAGGTCCCACGTCCCCTTTTGAATTCTAATTCACCTCATGGGTCAGCTCTCTATGCAGTTTCCTGTTCCTTTTTTTTTTTTTTTTTTGCTTGTCTCGGCTTCAGAAAAGACCCATTTTCCCCCAATATCTCCCCACATTCCCGTGGTTCAGAACCATAATGCTTCTGGTGGATAATTCAGTACTGGGCGAGGAGCTTGGCACTTGGGCAAGAAAGAAAATGAGAAATAAGGAAAACAGCACAGAGCTCTTAACCCTGAGTTTTAGCATTTTTAAAAACAAGGTGCTGTCTATTATCTGATTTGAAATTCCTTCCATGTTCTCAAAATGAGAAATAAATCTTTAAACAAATATCCAAGGGTTAGTTTCCAGGTGTTTGAAAGAAAATCTTGGTTCCCAGTGTTTTCATTTATTTCTTTTTTCTTTAAATTTTTCTTATTTTGGGTGGAGGGTTTGGTCAATTATCTGGCTGAGGACAGTGCTGACTGCCTTTGGTTTACACTTCTGTTTCGAAGTTTATTTTATGTTTTGTTGTGGTTTTCAGATTTCTCATGGTTTGGATTTGGGAAAGTAAAATCAAGACAAGGTGTTGGTAAGTAGTGATTCCTTCTTTGGATAAGTAATGAGTTTCTGTCATTTAATTCAGATGGAAGTGCTCAGATCCTGTTCATATTCTTTGGTCCTTGACCCATTACCTGTATTCCTGGTTTTTGATTTGTTGAAGGGGGTCTAGAATTTATTTTTCCAGAAAGGGTATTACTTTTGCTAGTTGAGTTCAGTAAATGGTTTTGCATTTTGAAGTGGACTTGTTTTACCCTGAGCAGTTGTGTCTGTTGTAGATGGTAGGAGCTGGGGATTTAGCTCAGTGGCACAGCGCCTGCCCGACAAGCGCAAAGTCATGAGTTCGAGCCCCAGTACCGGAAAAACAAACAAACAAACAAACAAACAAAACACAATGAAAGAAAAAAAAATAGCAGTCTTCCGTTGTAGATGGTGATGTGCTTTTCAGGTTAAAGATGGAAACCACAGCTACACTACAGCTCCTCATACAGCGTCTAGAGGCTACACTGGCAGCCTGGATGAGCTTGCTCTTAACTTTGTTCCACTGGCCAAGACGTAACAGGGATTTGAATTGGTGAATCAGCTGCTTATTTGTGGCCACTTTTCTTTGAAAATTGGCTTTGAAGTCCAGCACTGTGATTTGTGCTTGATTACATCCATTCCTTGCATTCAGAGTGTGTGCTGACAATTGAGGGGATGAGTCTGTAGCTAACCAAGTGAATGAGGATGATACAGCTCATCATTAGCACTGAAATCAGGTGTGATCCCGGGACCTCCCACGTGTTCAGTATTTTCTGTGGGTACAGAGGCAACAAATGAAGATTGCAGAGAAGGCAGGAGAAGACAATTTTATATCATTCATGGGTTTCCAGGATCTGACCATTGTGGGCAGATTGTGTTGTTGGTTGGTATTTCTTCTGGTAGCAGAGTTGGTTGTAAGTATGATTGCAAAGTGAGGGAAAGCCATCTGCCCTTTACTTGTTCATCCTACCGTGTAAGGAAACTTGTTGTTTTTTTTTTTTTCCTTTTTTGAGCCTGACGTAAACTTTGTCCTGTAAAGCAGCTTCTCTCAGTACAGCCCAGTGGGCTGAGCTTAAGCAGAAGCAGATTGGCCAGATGGGGCCTGGAGGGGGAAAAGTCACCCAGATCCTTAACAGCCCTGGGGAGTTCAAAATGAAAGCTCTTAACAGGCAAAGGGAAAGTACAAAGCTCAGCCAGGGCAAGACCTTTGGGCTGCTCCCTAGGGGAACTTTGAACCTTGGCTGGCCAATCACCATTGTTCTGCAGACATGCAGAAATCATTGCTTTAAAGACATCCTGCCTGCAGGGCTTTAAAGGTGTCCTGCTTCAGGACTTTCATGTTGATGGTGGTGGTAATATGTTTGTGTGTGTGTGTGTAAATGTGTGTGTGTGAGAGAGAGAGAGAGAGAGAGAAGGATAAAGTCTCCCACAACAGTGTTGTATGATGATGCCTCCTTTCTTCCACTTAATAGCAAATCCTATAACCTCTTGTACCTTCTATAGCGTAAACAAGTTTACCCTACAGAACGTGCTTATTCCCAGGGAACTTCAAAATTAGGGTTTTGCCCTTTTAGGCCATAGCAGAAAGCATTCCTCAGAATGCACCAACTGCGGCCCATGAGAGGCGGTTTTAGTATTCAGGTCTGGAGATGATGGCCAGTGAAAAGACAGATTTCTGCTCAGTTCCCAGAAGAAGACACTTCCTGCCACAAAGGGCTACACAGCAGGAACCCGCAGCCAGTTGGGAGGCAGAGGAAGGACAAACATGGTTTCCATGAGAAGGCAGGGGTAAGGCAGAGTAAGGAGACTGAGGGTTGGCTACCAGGAGTCATTTCAGCGGATTCTGGGCACAGGGTCTCTCCTGAGTTTTCAGGTACCTGGATCTGGGCCAGGTGGGCCAAGTCCACAGTGGCTGGAGTGCGAGGATCAGGTAAGGAAGGAGTGAAGGGGCAGACTGCGTCTTGACTGAGAGACGCGCTTTGCAGACATGGTATTTACTGTGTTTAGCAACTGGCCAGCCCTGGAGAGACTCTCAGTGTTAGCAGGGACCCAGGTGTCAAATTCTCAGAATACAGAGAATACAAGGCATGGTGGATACACCTGCTCAAGAGTAATAATCTCTCTCCTCCCCTACAAGTCTTTGTTGGTATTGAGACAATGAAACTTCTTTCCCAGATGACCTTCCTCCATTCTTTTACTGGAAAGTAAGTCTAAGTTAGGCTTAGACATATCTGAACAGATGTGCAGGCTATGTAAGAACCTCTGATAAGAGGAAAAAAATGCCTCTTTGTACCTAAGATATAGTGAAATAAAAATAGGCTGAATGTGTTTCCTGGCATAACTCATATTTGTCCGCTTAGTTAGTAGAACCATCTACTCCATGCGCAGCAATTATGCACATATTCAGTAGTTTAAAACTTCATACTCATATTACAATACACATTCAAGTCTTCATAGAGTTTCGTGTACCACACTGTAATGTGGTTCTGACTCTTCTCCGTCTTCTCCGTGGTGTCTGCTTAAATACGCTGCAGATGCATGAAGACACACGGAGCATGGAGGGCAAAGACAGGCTGTATCCAATCATAGAGACCTTCACTGTCCCCATGGAAAGCTCTTTTTGCCCCCGAGCTCACTGTGCCTTCATTACCTTATACCAAAAGGTTGGTAGAGGAAAGGGCTTAATTCCTGCAGCCCCTCCAGCCTGACCAATCTTCCAGGTTTTGGAACATCAATAATGAAGGAACCAACACCTGAATTAATATCCCACATGATGGATTGCTGAGGTCTGTGCTCCTCTGATCTGTCTACAGCAACTTTCCTTTTGAAAAATCACCTTTTGTGCTTTCCACCACTTCTGTGGTTACCATCCCCCAGCTTCCTCATGAAATAGCCCATTCCTTTGGAATCTGTTGTATTGGAGGAGTTGGGGTTTTAATTGGAGAGACAGGGCAGGAGAAGAGTGCCATTTGGTGGAGAAGGAGAAGCAGAGAGCAAGTTCTTCGGCTGGACTCTAGTGAGGGCTCCTCTGTGTACTTGGCAATGATTCAGAGCCTGGATTCCTGAAGGAGTCTTGAGACTGTCTTGTGGGTATCAACCTCCTCAGAAATGACTGAACAGCCCTGTAATGTTTGTGCCCTACCCTGGGCTGCAGAGCAATCGGAGATGTGTGAAAGGGGTCGATGCATTTCTAACCCTTGCTGGGGATCCAGGAAGGAATATTTCTGGCTTTCTGACAGCACATGGAATTTTGTGAAAACAACAACTCATACATTTCCTCAGGTAAAGATGGAGCCTGGAATCTCTTGAGAAGAGGGCAGCCTTGACTACAGCCCCTGTGCAAGCTGTGGGTGTAGCTTGCTTTGGAAACTTCTCAGGACAGCTGCTGCGGAGAAGGGGACCAAGTGGGAGACCCAGTGGCAGGGGAGTTTTATTGACAACAAACAGAAACTTTAGCACAAGGCATCTCCATTTTCCATCACTGGCTGAAAGCTGGGTGATCTAAGTGAGGGAGCAAATCATAAAGCAGGGATGGTTGGGGATATTAGAAAGAACTTGTCTTTGTAGCTATTCTTGGCAGGATTTCTGCTCTTTGCTAACACAGGTGAGCAGGGCTCCAGATGAACGTGGCTGCCAGGCTTGCCTCACTTTAAGATTCTAAATTGGTTGTGTGAGGACTTGTTTGCAGAACTAAGCCAGGGTATATCATTAAAGGCAACTTAAATGCACATGCTGTTGAGAGAGTGCTTTAAAAATGACCTATAATAGCAGTTGGCTTCCTTCTGCAAGATTTGTTTAAGACACAGCTAGTTGGGGAATGTCCAATTGTTATCACTACAAACTTTGATAATCCCCATATGAGGGAGAAATGGATCTTAGAGGTTGGGGGATGGATTATCATTGTATTCAATAGGGGATTCAAAGCTGCATCACAGGCCCTGGCAAAACAACCTTTGTTTTTAGAATTGCTATGTCTTTCACTGAAGTACTTAAGTGTGAGAGAATATGAGGAAGTACTGAACCGTGGCTTCTTTGTGTGTGTGTGTGGGGGGGTGGTTAAAACACTCTCCCTTGCACAGGCAATTCATGTTTTTCCTTCCTTAGAATGGCATTGGCCTTGGTTTCACTCCTCTTTGTCTTCCTTCCTTAGCATTTTCATTTTCCACCTTTCTCTTGACTTATGTCAGTTGTCATGGCCAGTGATCTGCTTCTCAGACACATGTGTAACATGTCTAACAGGACTTATCTATTTCCTGTGCATGGAATATCTGTCATGAGTTACCTTAATTGTTTTGAAGCTTACATATAGACCTATAGAGCATAGATCTATTTTTGATTATAAGTAGTAGGAGTTTAGTGGTTGATAAATAAATTGCTTAGACACAATATATAGAAGTGGACCTTGCATATATTGCATATATATATTCCTTATATATACAGACAGTATGTATGGTAGAGTAAATATGTACAGGCATATACATTCCTAGGTTTGGGGCTGAAAAAATTCAGGTCTTGTATGAAAAAACGTTATGATTGTTACTTTAATATAAAGGCATCCATGTAATGACTCTATAAATAATATTACTGCTAAAGACAAAGTACATGACTTTATCATGGTGTTGATTCATTGTTGTTATAATAGTGTTTTGTAAACAAAAGTGGTACACAAATTCACAGAATGTGGAAGAAAAAGAACACAGTAGTAGGACAATCCAAAGTAATTCTAGTCCTGCAATTAAAGTACATTTAAGAACACCTAGTTGTAATTCATACTTATGGAGCATATTTAAATTTACAATACATTTTCATATCACTAGTCTCATTACACTCCCATAAAATAGCAAGTAGGTATTACTCTGCATATTTTACCATTGTAAGCACTTGGAGAGGTACAAAGAAGATAAGTGACCTGTTCAGAATGGAGATGGGAATCTGACATCTTCAAGATCCCAGCATGACTTTCAATGCCCTGTGAAACAGGGATCCTAATTAATGCAGGAAGCATCAGTGAGAGTGTTCTGAAGGTGCTCACAGAACAGAGAGGAAAGCTGAATACTAAATGACAGGAGAAAGAACTAGAAAAAAGTTACAACCCTCATACACTGCTGGTGGGAATATAAAATGGTGTAGCCTCTTTGATAAACAGTTTGGTAGTTCCTCAAATTGTTAAACACAGGGCCAAGAATTCTATCCAAGAGAAATGAAAGCATGTGTCCACACAAAACTGGTACATGAATGTTCCCAGTACCATTATTCCTAATAGCCCAATAGAACAAATATTCCAAATGTCCTCCTGTGAATGGATAAACAAAATGCAGTATATCCATATAATGGATTATTATTTGGAACAAAAAGGAAGTACATGCTACAGTATGGAGGAACTTCAAAAACATTATGCCAAGTAAAATAATCCAGTTATAAAAGGGCATATTTGATAGGATCCATTTATATGAAATGCCAGACTAGGTAAATTCACAGAGCTGGAGAGTAAATTCATGGATGCCTTCACTCAGTATGGGGGAAATGGAGGATGAGTGCTAATGAGGGTGATGAAAATATCCTGAAATTAGATTGTACTGATGATCACACAACTCTGAATGTACCAAAACTCACTGAATTGTATACTTGAACTTGATGAGTTTTATGCTCATGAATTATAGCTCAATTGAAGCCATTAAGTTACAGGAGAATATTTATGTTTTCCCAATGTCAGGCCCAGCTTCAGTTATCAGCAATGATGACGACTCTGCCAGCCCACTGCACCACATCTCCAATGGGAGCAACACTCCATCTTCCTCCGAGGGCGGCCCAGATGCTGTCATCATTGGAATGACCAAGATCCCTGTCATTGAAAATCCTCAGTACTTTGGCATTACCAACAGTCAGCTCAAGCCAGACACATGTAAGTACAGCTGTTTATACTCATCAGCCTCTTTGCTGCTGCACAGCTGTGTCAGTGAGCACATTTGTCAGAGTCCCTGCAAAGGCTGGTGGGGTCAGGACAGTGAGATGCCTAAGGATTCTTGCCGCCTAGATCTTTTAGTTGCTTGTTTATGAAATTCACAAGGGTGTGTCTCCTGGTGTGATGGGAGCTCTGGGGAGATACTGACTTCTCTTGGGATCCATTTTCCAAAAGCATTTGTCAACATGAAGTTGGAGTCAAGGCATACTTATCTTGAGAAAGAGACAAAAACCAGAAGTATCATTAGAATGTACATACATTGGTTGTAGATGACAAGCCTTTGATGTAATTTAAATCTGGTTTATTGAAAGTAATTAAAATATGCAGTCTAGGTAGTGGGGAGGGTGCTGTGTTGCGCACAGGTTGTATCAACTTGGGTAGTTCTTTGTCCTTTGTTCAGTTCTAAAGGCCTTATCATGATGCCACATCAGCAAAGAGACCTTGCAGCTGATGATGTGCATGTGAAATAGGCTAACTTATCTTTTCCAAACCAAATTAATGCATTACTCTTCATTAGCAAACTTGGGGTTTTTCTCAAGGTACTTATTTGGTCTTCTAAGCCATTTCTTAAATATAAAGTCTGCATCACAGCCTTAAGGACTACTAAAACTAGAACCACAATGAGAAGCACTCTCCTGCCACTGGAACTCAGGTCATCCTTCATATGTAAATAATGGGCCATAAGAGATAAGATATACAGTGACCCAGGGCTTCCCTGGCACTGTTAAGTGTGTATCTTCTGTCCGTTTGCATGTTCTTATCCTGTCTTAAGTGCTACTCCCTTGCCTCATCTTCCAAGTAAGACAGGACTGTTGTAAAGTTGAAATGATCTTCTGCCAAAAACTCACATGGGATGCAAAGGCCCAGCAATGAGTATTAGATCTGCTGATACATAGGGTAACACTGTAATTTCTTCCTATTCTTCCCATTTATCTTAAAGTATGTTTAAGATTGGACTTGAGCTTAAGTGTGAGAAAGAACAGTATTACAGATTTGTAATGTATGAAATGGCCCCAGCACAGATTTTAGTCGAATTTGTAATATGACAAGATAAAAAGTAAAACAAGTATAAAGAATATTGAGATCCTTGAAGATGGTGGTATTATGGGAAATCAAGCACATTTTAAATTCTAATATTGTTGTGGTATATACAAGATGAATAGAGGCATTGCTTAAAATGAGCATTCTCTAATGATGTAGGCATCCTCCAGAAGTCCTTGACATGTTCTGCATGCATAGTGGTCAAACTCAGAGGAAGATGAAACAGGAAGCCATGGTGGGAGACTTTGTGACCATTTGGATTGTTCTCCATTGGAATAGAGCACTTGCACACCCCTGACACCACCAAAACCAGGCTGTATGATGTACTTCCCTTAGCCCCAGGGTGTATTACAATTGAGGTTGACTAAAATCAACATGTCCTCACAAAGTTTGTTTTCCTTTTCAATGGAGAACAGATAAATCTGAAAAATGAGCAGATACCATCAGCCCAACATGTCCAGTAAGAGAAATGAACAAATGAATAAGAAAGCAAAACAGCAAACAAAGTGGCAGGCAAAAACCCCCTTAAAAAAACTGGCCTGGATGCTGCTGAGTCGGGGGCTGCACCAGAAGTGTTTCCATGCTGTTGGAGTCCTGAAAGGACTTCTTTGGGGGTCATCTCCATGAGCTTGAGTCTGTGGAGGTTTTTGCAAACATTTTGGTTATTTTTAGAGACTATTGGTTTTGTGCCTCAGCCAGTCTATGTCACCCTCACTTAGAAGGAACTGGAAGAGAATCGAGGAGACCTATGGTCTCCTCCCAGCTTCTGGTCCCCACTGAACTGTAGACCAGAGAGCTCCATTGATTATTCCTTCCTCAGAAGGTTCTCTCCTGGGTCAGTATTTGCAGCCATCCTGTGTTCCAGTAGAATTTGTTTTCAGTCACCAAGCAGTATGTACTCTTCAATGGGCTTAAGAATATTTAAATATCACACGTCTTCCATGAATACTTTTTCAAGGAAATGGAATTGAAGAAATTTACTTTTCTCCTTCCCTTCACCCCTTCCTAAGTATCACTATTTAGCTTGTATTTTTTTTTTTATTTTCCCCAGTGTATCTGTTGATTTTTGCTCAGTAGCAGGTGTGAGTGCTCTAGTGTATGTGTCTGTGCAGTCTTGTTGAAGTTAGATGTAAACTCCTGGAGAGCAGCACTTCCTCTGTTGAGCTATTCCTTCATAACATGGCATGTACTGCTCCTTGGATGTTGGTCAGATGTTGGTTAAATGTGGCTATTATTGAAATAGGAATTACTAGCAAACTTGAAACAAAGTGACCACAACACTTTTCATTGGCTTTATTCCTATCAATTGATTGCATGCTATTTATTAGACACGCTTTTAATAATATATTATTTAATCTAAGCAGAGATAACAATTTTAGCAGAAATAAGTTTTTAATGAAATCATCCATTCTTTGGATAGGCTAGCTATAGTTATCTAGTAGTTAAAATATTTCAAAATACACAGACCAGACATACAGGAGTATCTGTTGCTATAGGTCCATGAAAATTTGAGAGTTTAGTTTTCAATTAAGTGATTCTCACTGAATACTTTTTAATGAACTAATTTCTAAATAACATTTGAAGAAAGACTTTTGCAGGAAATTGTATAGGTGAGATCAGGAAGAAAAGAGATGATTTAGAATACTTCTTCTGGGCTTAAAGAAAACTATCATGTGGTTAGTATGCTATGTCCTTTCTTCCAGATCTATCAGAAGCTTGGGTCACAAGCTGGTGCATTTACTGTTCTTTCCTAATGCTAGGTGCTACTCAAAGATGTTAACTTTAGAATATAGGCCTTACCTTACAAAAAATGATTTTCATTTCATTTCACAGAATTGTAAGATTCTAATCTAGATTCTAATTCCCTGCCCTCAGAGAACTTCATGGGCAAAGCCAGCATTAGGTCATCATGTAATCCCAATGCAATGGCTAGGCAATAAGATAGGAGAGGTTATGGAATATTCCCCTTCTGGTAGGTCAACAGGAAAAATGGGTTGGATCAGACAAATTATATAGAATACTGGAAGCAGTACGGGATCATGAGCCTAGTAGGTAGAGAAATAATGGGTATTTATTATTTTATTTGAATTGCCCAAGATTCAAAACACTAGGCAGGGTAAATGAGAGTACATCAGGGTGAGTCAGTGTGGTCCACAGTCCACTACCCATTTGTGATCTTCTGCCTTATACTCTAAAATACTGTGCAACTGAAGTAAATGGCTTATTTCACAGATAATGCTCAGAAGTGGCTTCTTTAAAGTGATGCAGCCAGCTGGGTGTGGTGGCACACACCTGTAATCCCGCACTCAGGAGACCAAGCACGCAGGAGGATCATTGCAAGTTCAAGACCAGCCTGAGCTACAAAGTGAGCTCAAGGCCAGCCTGAACTACATAGTGAGACCCTGTCTCAAAGAAGAAAAAAAAAAGAAGCCATAAAGTTATACAGCCTCAATACTTACACAGCTCTGTTTAAAAAAACCAAAACAAACTAGTAGAAATGATGAAATCAGATTTCTCTCAGTAATGCATAAGAATGTTTACATGAAGGATGATGAGAAGCTTTGTCCCCTGAGTAAAGTACTTTCTCACTACTGGGAGCTATGTACTAGTTTTCATTTCTAAAGTCCAGAGATGGTTTGCAGTATTTTAGAGCGATCTGAACAGGGCTGAATTGCTCCCGAGCACTTTCCAATAGCAAGTTTGTCTACTTTATTGCAGGGCCCAGAGGTTCCCCCAAGACCGCCTGATAATAATTTGGTATTTGGAGGCTCCTGTGTCCCTGCAGGAACTAAAGGAGGCTAATCCATGCCTGATGGAGGAGAAGAGTTCTATGGTTATCTGCAAATTCTGGCCAGACAACATCCTGACGTCACTCCTTAGCTTCTAAAACCTAGCCAAGCAAGAAGTTGCCTTCCCAAGACAAAGCAGTGTGCTCTAATGACAAACCCCTCAAAGTGCTATGCCACTTAACTGTAGACCATCTCCTCGACCAATCAGGATGGCAAGATGGAGCTTATGAGCTCAGCAACATCAAGTCTGGAGTTGGTCTTTAATCAGCCAGTCTGTTTAAATGTGTCTGAAAGCCATGTCATCTTACAGCATGGGCTGGTTTCCCAGTAGGATTTACCAACTTGGCTCCTTGACTGCTGAGAAAGGTTTTGACAGGGTACAATGGAAACACACCTTCTGATCTGAGAAAAACAAACATAGAACAAAACATGTTAACCAGCAAAACTTCCAAATCATCAATTTTGGGTTGACTCTTGAAAGGTGGGACTACCGTAGATCCTTAGACTTATTGTTGTTCCTAAAACTGTGTCTTCTCTAGGACAGTGTTGTAAATTAGTTAGGATCCTAGGCCTTGGGCCTAAATTCAACTAGAATTGTCTCAACATGTGTACCTATATGTATTTGTCCTTGTAGAGCCTGCTTTCTATGCCTACTCAGGGCTAGTAACTCCCTGTGGCAGATGCATACAATTATGATGTTTTTTCCATTTTCATTCTATTAAGAATTAAATGGGTACTTATTGATTTCCTTCAGAATGTGCCATACTTCTCTTTGTATTAGTGTGTGTGTGTGTGTGTGTGTGTGTGTGTGTGTGTGTGTTTCCACTGGTTACATGCTTATTAGGCACTTATATAGGTAAGTACAGATACATAGACCAGCTAGGACTAGGGAAATAAGGTGTTATAAAGGGAGGCAGTGTTTGAACTGTAGTTGAAAATATTACACAGAGATCCTATCCTGCTCCTCTTAACTGCCATGTCCACTTTGTCATTGTAGTAGTGACAAAGGCAGGAACATAGGTGATAACTTTTCACAGAACTGCAGAGTTTTTGAACGTATTTGCAACATTACTTTGAGTATACATGAACAAAAATCCTGAATTACATCCA